AGATCCTGTTTTCATGTGGATTTTTCCCCTCAAGAAATGCACATGGGTGATATACTTCTGAGTTTCTTTTCTGTCCACTTTACATGGGAATTACAGCTTCTCATGTTCTAGAATTCTTATATCACACCCTTTGTTGATGTATAAATGACATAGTGAACTGCACGTGTTCCAATTGTACAATTAGAAAAGTTTGACATATTTATATATCTGTGAAAACATCACTACAATCAAGATAAGGAACATATTTATCAACCCCAAAAGTCTACTTGTGCCCCTTGGTAATCCTTTCACCCTCTTACTCTTTGTCTTTAGGCAGCCACTTGTCTGCTTTCTGTCACTATTGGTTAGTTTACATTTTAAAACATTTTATATAAATGGAATCATCCAGAATGTCCTTTTTGAGCATCTGGATTCTTTCACCCAGCATGATTATTTTGAGATTCATCCATGTTGTGTTTATCAATAGCTTATTCTTTTTATTGCTGACTAGCATTCCAATGTATGGAGGTACCACAATTCACATACCCATTCGCCTGTTGATGGAAGAGGTTGCTCTCATGTTGAGCTATTACAAACAAAGCTACTGTGAACATTCATGCGCAAGTCTTTGTATAGACATGTGCTTTTGTTTCTCTTGGGTAGATATCTAGGATTACTCCACTGTGACTCAGTCATATGATAGGTATGTTTAACTTGTAAGAAATTGCTATACTTTTTCTGAAGTAATAGTTGTATTCTGCATTCCCACCAGCAGTATATGAGAGTTCTGGTTGCTCCACATCTTTGCCAACACTTGCCATGGTCATTCCTTTTAATTTTGAACATTAAAATAAGTGTGTAGTATCTCATTGTAGTTTTAATTTGCTTTTCCTTAAAATTGTTGCTGAGCTTCTTTTCATATGCTTGGTTAACATTTGTATAATTGCTCATTTAAAAATACTGGGTTACTTTCTTATTCAGTTTTACAAATTCTTTATATATTCAGGATATAAGTCCTTCATCAGATATGTGATTTGCAAATATTTTCTCTCAGTATGTGATTTGCCTTTTCATTTTTATTATGGAGTCTTTTGGTGAGCATATGTTTTAAGTTTTGTTGAAGTCTATTCTGTCAATTTTTTCTTTATGGTATTTTTGTTCATGAAATCTTATCTATGCCACAGTTGCAAAGGTAGTCTCCTATATTTTCTTATTGAAGCTTTAGAATTTTTAGTTTTTATGCTTAAAACTATGACATGTCTGAAATTTGAGTACATGGTTAGAAGGATAAAGGGTCATTTTCTCCTGACATAGGTTTGTTCAGTGTCTTAATCAATTTTCTGTTGTTATAACAGATTACCACAGACTGGGTGATTTATAAACGAGTCTTTTTAGCTCATGTTTTGAAGTCTGGGAAACCTAGGAGTATGGATTTGGCATCTGGTGAGGGCCTTTTTGCTGTGTCACAACATGATAGAGGGCATCAGATGGTCAAAGTGCAAGAGCAAGAGAGGCAGAGAGAGCTTGCTTTTATAACAAAACCACTCCCACAATAACAGCATCAGTCCATTCATGAAGGCAGAGCTGATATCAGACCACCCATGAGGGCAGAGGGATTAAGTTTCCAAAACGTGAGCTTTGTGGGGGGACCTATCCAAACCGTAGCATCTGGTTTTTCCAGCACCATTTGTTGAAAAGGCATATTTCTCTACCTAATTGGATCGATGCCTTTGTTGAGAATCAAGTGACTGTATGCATGTGGGACTTTCTCCAGTTCCCATTGATCTGTCTTTAAGTCAATACCACACTGTCTTGATTACTGTAGCTTTTAAAAATCGTGGTAAAATGTACATAAGATAGAAATTACCATTTTAACCAGTTTTAAGCATACAGTCCAATGATATTAAATACATTCATATTGTTGTGTAACTATCAGCAACATCCAGCTCTAGAACTTTTTTCATCTCCCCAAAGTGACACTCTAAACAATAATTCCCCATTCCTTCCTTCCTTCCCTGCCAACCACCATTCTATTAGGTTATTAAATATGAAATGTCCCGTTTTGAATCAAAAGTTTAGTTTATTATCTCTCAAACAAGAAGCTGTACAACTAATCAAAGTGTGCACCTAAACTGTTGACACAGTTTTGCCATCTTAATGGTAGCTTGCTTATGCCAGCAGTAAAGAAGCCTGAAGAGAGAGTGGTGATGAAGTCGCAAAAGGTGCTTTCCACAGCTTGCTGAGAATTGAATATTTTTTCTTTTAAGAAGTGTCCAAAGCCTGAAAGAAATGGTAGTCAGTTGGTGCAAGGTCTAGTGAATATAGTGGATGACAGAAAGTTTCTAAGTCCAGCTGCCATAGTTTGAGCAGTTTCAGCATTGCTTGTGCGACATGTGGTCGAGTGATGTCTTGCAAGAGAATTGGCCCTGTCTCTGTTGAATAATCTCAGCTGCTTAATCACAAGCATTCTCTTCATTGCAACCACTTGGTTGCAGTAGACATCCACTGTAATTGATTGACCAAGTTTTGTGAAGCCATAGTGGATAATACCAGCATTGGACCACCAAACAGATAGCATTAGCTTTTTTTGATGAATATTTGGTTTTGAACTGTGTTCCGGCACGTCATCTTTATCTGACTGTTGTGACATACACTTGAGATTGCCAAAAAGAATCCATTTTTCATCCCGCATAACAATATGACGTAGAAATGGTTTGCTTTTATGTCGTGATAGCAAAGAAAGGCAAGCTTCCAGACAAGTTCTCTTCTGGCACTCACTTAATTCATGCAGCACCCATGTATCCAGCTTCTTTACCTTGCCCAGTTGTTTCAAATGGTCCAATATTGTTAGAATAGTAATATCAAACCTTGCTGCTAATTCACGTGTAGGTTGAGATGGATTCACTTCCAGTACAGCTTTCAACTCATCATTATCCACCTTGCTCTCAGGTCAGCCACATGGCTGATTTTCAAGATTAAAATTACCAGAATGGAACTTCTCAAACTATCAATATATTGTGTATTCATTAACCACATTCTTCCCAAACACTTGATATTTTGAGCTGTCTGTGCTGCATTGGTTCCACAACAGAACTCATATTTGAAAATAACATGCATTTTTGAGTTAGCCATGGTTTCATAGACATTGCTCTAAAAAAAAACTTCACGGTGTGCGTTTGAAAGACTGAGGCTTGAGACTGTACCTTTCACCATAAACACAAAACAAGAGTGTCAAAGTGAAATGTTATAGATACCAACTATCAAACTTAGTACTTAAGGAAATTGGACATTTCATACTTTAACAACCTAATTCTATCTCATATGAATTTGACAATTCTAGATTCCTCATATGTAGCATTATTATATACAGTATTTGTCTTTTTGTGACTTATTTCACTTAATGTAAATAAGTGCAGAGGTAGTCTTCAAGGTTCATCCATTATTGTGGCATGTGTCAGAATTTCTTTCCTTTGTAATGCCGAATACTCTTCTATTATGTATCTATAAGTCACATTTTGTTTATCCATTCATCTGTCAGTGACTTCTTGGGTTGCTTCCACTCTTTAACTGTTGTGAATAATACTGCTGTGAACTTGGATTTGTACAGTATCTGAGTCCCTCTTTTCAATTCGTTTGGGTATATACCCAGAAATGGGATTGCTGGCTCATGTAGAAATTCTGTGTTTAATTTTTTGAGGAACCACCGTACTGTTATCCATAGTGGCTACAACAATGTACATTCCCACCAGCAATGCACAATGATTCCTATTTCTCCACATCCTTAGAAATACTTCCTTTTTTTTTTTTTTTTAACTAATAGCCATCCTAATGAGTATGAAGCAGTATCGTTGTGGTGTTAATTTTGCATTTCTCTAATGATTTAGCAATGTCAAGCATCTTTGCATGTGCATACTGGCCATTTATATATCTCTTTTGGAGAAATATCTAATTTTGATTTCTTTGCCCATTTTTTAATCAAAATGTTTTTTGTTGAGTTATAGGAGTTCATTATGTGTTCTGGGTATTAATCTCTTATCAGATGTGTGATTTGCAAATATTTTCTTTAATTCTGTGGGGAATAGATATAATTTTCATAGTAAAAAGCTAAAGAGTTCAGTGAATATTCTCAGCCACTCAGACCCAACAATTAACATTTTGCCATATTTACTTTGTACACACATGAAAAAATTATATTGTTGAATCATTTTAAAGAAAATTACAGATACCCTTATACTTCACCTGGTATATACCTTCACAAAATAAGGACATTTTTCCACATCAGCCGTATTTTCCTCATATACATTCTCCAAAATACTATTTCAAAATAATATATATTATTGGGAAAACATAATGCTACACTTTGCTTTTTCTAATTATAACATAGCAGCTACCCTGTTGGAATAAGTTCACTGATGGTATTCCTTATAGTGTTGACATTTTCTCACACATCATTAAGAACTTCATTTCCTTCATCACCTGAACTACAACTATTGCCTCCCAACTTTCTCCTTTCTCTCTGGTCCTCCTCTGATCCATCTTATATACTATAGCCAGAATGATATCTTTAAAACTTAAAGCAGACTGTGTCTGTCTCTCTCTTACTCGTTCAGGACCCCTTGCATTGCATTTGAGTCCAAACCTCTTACCATGGCTTCTGACAGGGCACAGTATTATCTGGCCCCTGCCAAGCCCACCAGCCTTCTCTCTAAGCTCTAGCCAGATAGAATTGCCATCTGTTTCTTGAACATACCAAGCTTTTTCCTCTATGAGCCTTTCCTGTGCTGTTTTCTCTCACCACCACCCATCCCACTTCCACAAGACTTTTTTTTGTCCGTCTGGTGTTTATGTAAAGGTTATCTCTTCAGACATGCCTTTCCTCATGATGTAAATACATCATCTATTCCCTTTCATAGTGCCTTTCCAATATCTTTATAGTCATTTTTCAATGTATAAATACATATTTTTAAATTACTGTCTTTCCTCCTCTTGCCTCCCCTCCAACACACATATCCCCACTGTACCTTGAGCTCCATGGTGGCAGGAACTGTTGTACTCCAGTTGGCACACACTTGGTAAGAGGTGAACAGTGAGAAGCATGGTAGCCCCTTTACAAAGTGATAGTAAAAGGGGCTATTCTTATAGGATGTATTGGCTTGACAAACTTAAATCAATCACATTACTTTGCATTGCTTCCATGTGTGTTTATAATTTGATCTAAATTATTCTCTCATTTGAATTACATAATGTGACAAGTCATGTCATATGATTTTGGAATTAGGTTTAACCTGAAAAATCCAAGATCAAAATTGAAACTACAGTAAAATATTTTATATATTTCATGTATCTGTAGTATAAAAGTGTGGTTTCATTATTTTCATCCTTATTTTCTTCCTCTTACAGACTGAGACAACACTTGGACTTAGTTCATATCAACAGAAAAGGTAAGCTGTGTATGTTTAGTATGTACTAACATACTTTCACTTCTTTTGGGGTATTCCTATCATTCTCCTTTTCTCCACCTACTCTTTTTGGTAAAGAGGGAATAGCAAATTATAAATCACGTTCTATTGTGTATTTCTAAGTATTGTGTGTGGAAAACCAGGTTTAAATCTGAATTTGTTTGTCATGCAATTATTATGTAGCATGCCTCACATAATGAAGGGCTTTTGCTCAGAACTGAAACTCCCCTTGCTTTGTAAGGGGTCCAACTTTGTACTCTTCAGTGACTTCTCTTGTGGCCATACCTGCCTTTTATGGACTGACCATTGCTGCCCTTAGGAGAGATCTGTCTAAGGACCCTGGAGGAGGAACTCAGAGCCATGAAACCCAGTGTTATGACTCAAAGAGACCCCTTTTAAATACAGCTCCCCTGTTATAGAAGAGAAGTTGTTTTACTTCAGGTATTAGGAAAATACATACATGCATGTCAATTTGAAGACACCTTCCCTGCCTCCCCATCCTCAAATTCTTTGGTTTTTTTGGACCTTCTCACACCTTTAAAGAGATGATATAGAAAGAAGATTCTGGCCTGATTGTCTTTCCATATCTGGTGAAAGCCTGCTCCTGGTACCAAAAGGGGAATGAAAGCTTTCTTTGAATTAGATAACCAGTCGCCCCAGCAACTATTTCATGTTCACCACTAGGGAGCCATAAATTTAAAGATGTTTTTTCTGTAGGCTTGACATAACAATATAATTGCACTTCCTATTTGCCAGGAACAACTGGTCAACCTCCGAGTACCTGTTATAGTCAGTGCCCTTTAGTAACAGTTGGAAGGGTGTCAGTAGTATCAGTGGTGTTCTCAGATAAGAAGCCCATTTCACCAATTTAAGAACCCATTTATCTTATGTGTTTTTAGGGGTACATTTTATTCTGTCAGTGTATTCTTGAAATGAGAACAAAGCTCATTTATCTTTAAAAAATATCAATAAATTATCTAATGAAATCAAACACTTACCTACCAAAGTGGTTGTAGCAACAGAAGACTCCCTGCCTTTGCTGTCATCACTGCAGTTCCCATTTGCATTTAGCTGGAGTAGGAAAGCATTTCCTCTTCACAGGCTTGATGCTTAAAGTGCATCTGTGAATATCCTAGACTAGCAAAAATGAAGACTGCATCCACAAAGAATTTTGTTTTCAAGTATCAAATATTCTGATTAAGAGTAGGACAATTAAACCTTTACTTCTTACTTTGTAAATATAATAATGAAAATCCTTCAGTATTCACTAATGTTGCTTTTTTTACTCTTTCATATCCACAGTAATATGGCCCTTCTTCCCCATTGCTCTTTCGCCCTAATGTTATATGCTCAATTGGGACCTGCCCAAATATTTTTGGCACCAGGGTGGGTTGTCCAGGCCACTACGAGTCTAGCCTGATCCCTCCTTGGCTGGACCATCCAAGAACCCTACAATTCTGTGACATGTTTAGAGCCAAAGTAGTGGAGAGAAAAAGCACACCTCTTATCATATTCTTCTTCCTTGATCCTTTATTCTAGCAGTTAGGAGATTAGCTATAGAATCATGCTGCACTACATTTAAGAAAATGATTTTTTTCCATGATCAAAATTTGAACTTTAAGTATTTTCCTGGTATAATGAAGAATTTACATTAATACATAATTATATTCTCATCTCATGTTCTGCTTATTATCTACATCAGTCTAACAAACTACCCAAAACTTAGTGGCATAAAACAGCCATTTTATTGCGCTCTCAGTCTCTGTGTGTCAAGATTTCAGGCAGGGCACAGAGAAGACAGCTGGTCTCTGCTCTGTGGATGATCGGGGCCTCTGCTGGAGAGACTCCAGAGCTGGAATGACTTGATGGCCTGGAGCTGGAGACATGTTCACTCACGTGTTGATGCTAGCTTATTAGCTGGGACCTCAACTATCACCTAGAATGCGTATATTTGGGCCTCTTTCTGTAGTCTTTTCATATGGGATTGTTTGTTTGGGATTGTTTGGGCTTCCTGACAGAATGACAACTGTACTCTTAAGAGTGAATGTCTCAAAGAAAACCAGCAGAAAGTTTATCACCTTTTATGACCTGCTCCTGGAAGTCATAGTGTTATTCCTATTATATACTGTCAGTCAACCAGCTACTTAGGTTGGCCATATTCAAGGTGGGAGTGAGGGGAAATAGACCCTCACCTATTGATGGCGAGAGTATCAAAGGATTTAGGATTTGTAGACACAATTTATAACCATCACATTTCACTTGGTGTGTGTGTGTGTGTTTGCGTGCGCGTGCATGGCCAAGACCATGAATTGGATAAACATTTGGTTGAAATTGGTATGCCATTTGGGAATGGGACTGGCTTGAGCACTAAAATGTGATAATTAGCCCAGGCTACTATAACAAAATGCCATGTAGCTGGTAACTTAAACAACAGACATGTATTTCTCAGAGTTCTGTAGGCTCAGATGTCTAAGGTCAAGGTCTTATGGTCATGAGCCTTGCACACTGTTTTGATGATAAAAGAGTAAGACACCATGTGGAGCATACACATGTACCTCAGGTATCTTGACACCCCCTACAATTAAACTCTGAGGCTTACAGTGTCTGATTATAATGTCCTTCTTCAAATGTTTTGTTATCTTCCCCAAAGCAGATTACATTTTGTTACTTTCATTAACACCTATGCTTTATGACCTCATTAGAAGTGGTATCACTGTCCTCTAGAACTATTCTGATGGGTTTAGCAGCCAGAGAACATTGGCAGATCTCATTTTTGTAGGCTCTGTGCTGCAGAGGTTTATCTTGAGTGGGGCTTGTACTAGCCAGCTGGTGCCTGTTCCCTCAGAGGGAATTTAATACATTTATTGTATGTGTTCAGTGATTTAAAGGAAAATATGAACATAATAAAGGAAAATGGACAGTATAAAAAAAACCAAAATGAAACCTCAAGAGTTCAAAAATATAGTTTTTGAAATGGGTAGTATTAACAACAACTTAGACACTGCAAAAGAAAAGCTCAGTTGAGTTTGAAGACATAGTGACAGAAGTAATTCAATGTGAAGCGCAGGGAGAAAGTTAACTAGAATAAGACTAAACTCTTGGTGACTTCTGGCTTAATAGCCATCAGTCTAACACATGTATAATTGAGTTCCTAGAAATTGGAGGGGAGCAGCTGTCAAAGAACTATAATAAACCTAAAGCAAGAATAACATAAAGAAAATCACACTAAGCCACATAATATTCAAATTGCTTAAAACCAGTGATAAATAGAAAAACAGCCAGGGAAGAAAACTACGTTTCTACAAAAGTTGAGAATGACTGCTGGTCCTTCCTCAAAGACAAATGCAAACCAAAAACCAATGAAAATGACATCTTTAAAGTACCAAAAGGAAAAATTGCTTAATACACTACATCCAGCAGAAATATTCTTCAACAATAAAGATATTTCCAGAGAAAGCTGAGAAAATTTATGGCTAGCATGCTGGCACTTTAAGAAATGTTAAAGGCTAAAAGTTAAACTGTTTTAGGTGAAAACACAGATCAAACAAGAGAATGAAGACCACCAAAAAAGTAAAAATATGTGAGTAAATATAAAAAAGACTTTAACATTAATTGACTTTAAAAAATAAAAATGGTTATAATGTTTTATGGAATTTATAACATGTACATTATGTGTCTGATAACAGTACCACGAAGGACAGGAGGGGTGGATATAAAAATCGAATTGTAAGGTTCTTACATTATATGTAAAGTGGCATAATATTATTTGAAGTTAGACCATGGCGAGATGAAATAAACCCTAGAGGAAACATTAAAATCATTAAATAAAAAAAAAACAGGCTGGGCGCGGTGGCTCACGCCTGTAATCCTAGCACTCTGGGAGGCCGAGGCGGGCGGATTGCTCGAGGTTGGGAGTTCGAAACCATCCTGAGCGAGACCCCTTCTCTACTAAAAATAGAAAGAAATTAATTGACCAACTAAAAATATATATACAAAAAATTAGCCGGGCATGGTGGTGCATGCCTGTAGTCCCAGCTACTTGGGAGGCTGAGGCAGGAGGATTGCTTGAGCCCAGGAGTTTGAGGTTGCTGTGAGCTAGGCTGATGCCACGGCACTCACTCTGGCCAGGGCAACAAAAGTGAGACTCTGTCTCAAAAAAAAAAACAAAAACAAACAAACAAACAAAAAAACAGAACAAAGAGATATATACTAATAAATTAGTCATAGAGATAAAATGAAACACTGAATGAAAATTCAGTTGATTCTTAAGAAGGCACAAAGAGAACAAAAGGGATAAAAAGGAGATAGGAAAAATAGAAAACATGGCAAGATGGTAGGTTTAACTGCAACCATGTTAAAAAAACTACAATAAATGATTTCAACATTGGTTGTCAGACTATATTTTAAAGCAGAATTCAAGCATATTTCATCTACAAGAAATATACTTTATTTTTAAATTTATATTTAATATTTTTATCTTTTGTTTTAAAATAGTTTTAGTTTAATGAAAAGATACAAAAATAGTACAAAGAATTCACATATTCCCTTGACCCAGATTCCCAATTTGTTATCGCTTTTCCACATTCATTTTAATATTTATAATCTCCTTTTCCAACTTTTCCTTTCCCCTTCCTCCCCTTATTCACCCCATATATATTTATATGTAATTTTTCTGAATTGTTTAGGAATCCTTTGTAGATATGATGCTCTTTTATCCCTAAATGCTTCAATGTATAGTTTTTATAAACGTGAACATAGTTTTACATATCACCATGTAATTACAAAATCAAGAAATTAACACTGTTTCATACTGTTATTTAATCTATAGACCTCATTTGAATTTTGTCAATTGTCTCATTAATGTCTTTTGTTTACAAAAGGGAAGAAATTTTTGGTCCAGAGCTCAAGCCCTCATATTTAATTTTCATTTTTCTTTAGTCTCTAATGTGGAATGATTGATTTGTCTTTCTTTTGTAACTGACATTTTTAAAGAATAGAGGCTATTTATTTTGTAGAATACCTCAGTTTGGGTTTTTTGATATTTCCTCATTATTAGTTAGATTGTGCATTTTTGGCAGGATTATTGCTGAAGTTTGTGTCCTTAGTGCCATCCTATCAGAAAGCACATTATGTCTGTTTGTTCTATTTTTCTCTTGTAATTCTGAAGAGAAGTACTTTGTATCCTGCAGAGAAGTACTTTGAGACTATGTAAATATACAAAGAAAATGAAATCAGTATGTCAAAGCTGCAGGCCCATGTGATTTACCTGGTACATTCAGTCAGACACCTAATGAACAAATAGTCTTACACAAAACTTTTCAGCAGAGAGAGAGAAGGAAGGCATCCTTCCTAATACGTTTCTATGAGGTGACCATTGCAGGGATTATAAGAGAACTAGAGACCACATCTCTTTGAACATATATCCAGAAATTCCTAACAAAATATTTGTAAATTGAATTCAGAAATATATTAATAGAAATAATACATCTTGACCAAAAGGAGTTTATCCTAGGAATGCAAGATTGACTAACATTTGAAAAATCAATCAATATACTTATTAAAATAAAGAAAAAATGTAATTATTTGAATAGATGTAGAAAAAGCATGTGACAGAATTCAGCATTTATTCATGATTTAAAATGTTCAGCAAACTGGGAATAGAAAAGAATTTCTCCAACCTAATAAAGAGTATTTATGGAAAAAATGACAGCTAACATGGTATTGGTGGTGAAAGGTTGAATGCTTTCTTTCTAAGATTGGGAGAGTAGCAAGGATGTCCATTTTCATGACTTCCATTAAATATTGTACTGGATGTGCTAATCATTACATTAAGGCAAAAAACAAGAAAGATGTTTCAGATTGGAATGGAAGAAGAAAAAGGATTTTGTCTACAAACAGCATTATTGGGTACATAGAAAGTCCTAAGAAAAACATCAAAAAAGCTATGAGAACTAATAATTAAGCAAGATTAAAGGATATGTAGTCCGTGATCAGAAATAACTTTGATTGTTTTATAACAAGTGCGTATGTTATAGAGAAATGCCATTTACATTAGCATCGAAAAGTATTGCATTCTTTATAATAAATTTACCAAAACAGTTTTGGGACTTGGACACTGAAAACTGTAACATATTAGAACAGTTAAAAGACTGCTGGGCTTGGCTCGGTGGCTCACACCTGTAATCCTGGCACTCTGGGAGGCCGAGGCGGAAGGATCGCTCAAGGTCAGGAGTTTGAAACTAGCCTGAGCAAGAGCAAGATCCTGTCTCTACTAAAAATAGAAATTAATTGGCCAACTAAAAATATATAGGAAAGATTAGCTGGGCATGATGGCGCATGCCTGTAGTTCCAGCTACTCGGGAGGCTGAAGCAGAAGGATTGCTTGAGCCCAGGAGTTTGAGGTTGCTGTGAGTTAGGCTGATGCCACAGCACTGTAGCCCAGGCAACAAAGTAAGACTCTGTCTCAAAAAAAAAAGACTGCTAATATTGAAAAGATTCTGTGTTCATAGATTGGAAAATTGTGAAGATGTTAATTCTCCATAGGTGGATTTTAGATTAAGTGCAGTTCCAAATAAAATTTCAACAATTTTATCGAAATTGACAAGCTAATTTTCAAATTTATTTGGAAATGTTAAGTACCTAGAATAGCCCAAATTTAAAAAAAAAAAAAAAGAACCAAATTGGAAGACTTAAATTACCTGTTTCAAAGATCGTTTGAAACTTTTTGATCTCATGTGCCAAGATAATTCAACAGCACAAGAATATATTTTTTCCATAAATGACACTAGGCCTACTGAATATATACATAGAAACAAAAAATGAACTTTAACCCTTAACTTGTGCCCTACACCAAAATTAACTTAAAATGAATAATAAATAGGCCTATATGTAAAACCTAAAGGTTATAAAAGTTTGAGTAAAATTAATCTTTCAATAAAAATATTTGCAACCTGGTCAAACTTTTCTTATGACACAAAAAACACATTCCATAAAAGAAAAAAAATGATAGTTTTGATTTCATCAAAATTAAAACTTCTCTTCAAATGACACCATTACTTAGGAAAAGGTAAATAAGGGACAGGACGAAAATGTTTGGAGTACATGTATTTGACAAAGGACACTCATTTAGAACATACAGAGAACTCTCACAATTCAATAGAAAGGCAGACATCCCAGTTGAAAAACTTAAATATTTCTGAAAAGAAGATATCTAATTGGATAATAAGTAAATGGAAAGATGTTCAACATTAGTCATTAGGAAAGTGTACATTAAAACTAAAATTTATTTATGGGAGAATATATATTATAGAATTGTTACTTGCAGATGATTCATGTATAGTGATTATCCAAAACAGATATCTACAATATTTTGTTATACATAGAATTTAATCCATACTCTAAAGGAGATCTGGCTCTTGTGCCTCTGACCTTAGCTTCTGTCTCCTCCTACAACTTGGCTGCACTCTGGGCACTTCAGCTTTCTTGTTCCTCAACTTGCCAGGTATATTCCTACTTTCTTCTCCCAGATCACCATTCATGTCTTGCTTGGTTCCATTGTGGCTCCTCAGAGAGCATTTCTTTGTTCTAACCACAGCCCCCACTGTGTTTTATTTGTGTTTACATCACGTATCATCACAATCCTACTTTTGTTTACCCCCTAGGGTGTTAGTGCCATGAGAGCAGGCACTTTGCTTTGTTCCCTACTGTAGCCCTAGCCACTAAGCAGTACCTGGCACACAGTACCCATTCATACATTTGTAATGAAAAGGTGGGGTATATACTTTTTGATCCTCCCTGTAACTTTGGACATTTCCATTTGCAACATGCAGAATAGACTCTTAGCTCTGTGAAACAAACTGTATCTTAATCTCCTTTCTCTCCAGCATTTAACACATTCCATGTTTATATATATGAATTAATGACTTGTACAATTATATGTCATACTTTATTTTTCCTTGATTTGATTAAGGTTTTATATAAGTTTGAATTTCACACTATTAAAACTTATGAGCTTAGTTAGCTACATCTCTTGTCTTAAAGGAGCCAAAAGAATGGCATTGTTACACCTTATGAAGGGCAGAAAACAGGAAGGAATAGATTCTGTACCTCTTTTGCTACATGTGACAATGATGTTGCAAGGAATTGTGGCTTCTTGTCTCAGTGTCTTCAGTTTTGTACTTTAGGAAAGTATAATCTTACATTTGGTGTTTTCTTTCTGTTTTGTGTTTGTCACTTTTCTGTTCAACATATGCAGAGGGGTTATCATGAGCAGTATAGAGGAATCTGAATTGATAGGGCTGAAAAACATGTTTGGACTTCATTACTTTCACCTCAATTATTCTACTACTCAGACTATTTAATCTTTATAGAATTGAATTAAAGCTAAATTTCCTACATATTGTGAATGTTATTGTCTACTTCTAATATATTTCCTGTGTCTCCTGAATGAAATTACTGTGTCATTTGGAAGCTTGTGTTCTCGTGAACTCCAGTGGTGATGAGAATAAAGTAGTCTCACAGAACAGGTTTTGCTTTTACATCATTTCTTTAAAAGATCAAAATATACTATTTTGAAATTTTAGTAGCTGACTTAATTTGTGACCACTTCAGTTTATAAAGAGATGACTTTAGGTATGTAAGCTACCACCCATGCCCTCCCCCCTTCCCCTCTCCCGAAGATCACTTATCCTTTACATCATCATCATTGTTAGGTCACAGTGAAATCTGAGGTTTGCTATTCAGAAATCTTTTTTATTGAGAAGTTCTGGTATTAAGTGGAATAATTAGAAATGATACTCAAATATTTAGGCCAAGACATCATGGATCAGTGTATTCTAAACTCTCACATG